GCTACTTTTCTTTATTTTATATTTCTTTTAATTGAATATCTTTGGATTGATAGTTGGACAAAACAAGCAATTTGAAGAAATCACCTTGGGCTCTGGGAAATTATCATGGTCATTTTTTACTGTTTACTGATATTCTGTGGACTAAATAATAAATTGATCTATTCAGTTAGTTGTTAGTTGCAGCCCTAAAATGTATAGCTGTCAAGTAATCTGTATACTATTGCAGACCAGAATTAACAAAGGTTAGACATACTTAAAATTCTTGCTTTACCTTCATTAATACAGTTTTGTGCAAAGTACATTTAATTAAAATATTTGAATCAACCTTTGAAGTATGACATTTTTATTATGTTGATGGAAACATGTTTAGCTCAGAAGGAGCTATTGTAAACCTATTGTATGTCTCTATAGATTCTGATAAGGAATCGCGCCACAGACTTGGATGCCCGCATGCATGATGGCACTACACCCCTGATCTTGGCTGCCAGACTGGCAGTGGAGGGCATGGTGGAGGAGCTCATAAACTGTCATGCTGACGTCAATGCAATTGATGATTTTGGTAAAATTTCACTGTTTTAGCGCCACTTATATGAGCCTAGAAATCATTACAACTTGGTGCTGAATGTGGTCAAATGTTGGACAGCCTGAAATGCATCAAATGAACACAGATCTAATAATGTTATTTGTGTCTGTTCAGGTAAATCAGCTCTACACTGGGCTGCAGCAGTTAATAACGTGGAGGCTGCTATTGTGCTTCTCAAGAACAGTGCCAACAAGGATATGCAAAACAACAAGGTAAAACACTAATCTGTCTCCTCCTCCTCCTCTTAGTTTTGTAAAACAATAGCGAAAAATCTTTCCGAAACATCACCCCTCGCTTGTCTGCGAATCTCTTAACGTGTTGTCTCCTTTCTGTTTACCTCAGGAGGAAACCCCACTATTCTTGGCTGCCAGGGAAGGAAGCTACGAGACAGCAAAGGTCTTACTGGACCACTTTGCCAACAGAGAAATAACTGACCACATGGACCGGCTACCCAGAGACATTGCACAGGAAAGAATGCATCACGACATTGTGCGGCTGATGGACGAGTACAACCTGGTACGGAGTCCTCACATGCATGGAGGTTCACTCAGCACCACGTTGTCACCCCCTCTCTGCTCACCCAATGGCTACCTGGGCAACATGAAGCAGCCCCAGCCTCAAGGTCAAGGTCAGGGCAAAAAGGCACGCAAGCCCAGTGCCAAGGGCATCGGCTGCAAGGATGGCAAAGACATGAAGGTGAAGAAGAAGAATTCGCAGGATGGGAAGTCTGGGAACCTCCTGGACAGCTCAGCCGTTCTGTCCCCAGTTGACTCGTTGGAGTCTCCACACGGCTATGTTTCTGATGTGGCCTCACCGCCCATGATGACCTCACCTTTCCAGCAGTCGCCATCTGTATCCCTGAACCATCTGCAGGGTATGTCTGACCCACACCTATCTGTAAACCACATGGTGATGCCAAACAAGCAGGAGCTGGCTCGAATGCAGTTTGACCCACTGCCACCCCGTCTTACCCATCTGCCCGTATCTGGTTCCAGTGGCCAGGCCCCCATAAACGGCCAGTGTGATTGGCTGTCCAGGATGCATGGCAGCCTAAATCAGCCGGGCCAGTTCAACCCCATGAGAGGAGCTCCTGGTGGTCAGGGAAGTCTGCACCAGGGAGGGCAGCACGGGATGATGACCTCCCTCCACAATAGCCACCCCACCACTAGCCTGTCTCAGATGATGAACTACCAGGGGATCCAGAGCACCAGACTAGGTCCACAGCCCCACATCATGCAGCAGCAGGCTCAGCAGATGCAGCAGATGCAGAACCTGCAGCAGCTCCAACAACAGCAGCAACAACAACAAAGCATCCAGCTGCAGCACCAGAACTCAAACGCAACCAGCAGCCAGAACTTCATCGGCGGGGAGCTCACTTCCCCAGAGCTTCAGCAGGGCACAAGCAACTCCAGCATGCCCATCCACACAATCCTGCCGCAGGAAACCCAGATTATGCCCTCCTCCATCAACCAGTCAATGCCCAGCACACAGTTCCTCACCCCACCTTCCCAGCACAGCTATTCAGGCCCCATGGACAACACTCCAAACCATCAGGTCCAAGTGCCTGACCATCCCTTTCTGACCCCCTCCCCCGGCTCCCCCGATCACTGGTCAAGTTCTTCTCCTCATTCCAACATGTCCGACTGGTCAGAGGGCATTTCAAGTCCACCGACAAGCATGCAGTCTCAGATTGGACATATACCTGAACAGTTCAAATAAGAAGCTTGTACTCCCAGATGAGCTGCTGTATATTTTTTTATAAAAAAGGCACTCTTTGTGAAAAAATAGAAAAAGGGCAAAGCTGTAAACACGATTCAGTAGGACTTTTTATACGCTTTTATACTAACAGCAACATTTGTGTTTCATCCGTTCTTTTTATTTATTAATGCCTTATTTATGCGCATTGCTTACCTGCTTACAGAAATTTGGGGGATGGTGCTGGGTCATATACAGGACAGAGAAAGTCCTTAAGAGAGACTCTTTTCTTTTAGTATTTCTTTTCTGCAGTGAAACCTCAGCATACACACTGGGTATTTATTTCCTAAGGACTTTTAGTATTTGCCTTTTTTCATATGACTTCTCAATCTTTGTTTTTAATTTGTTATTGTTTTGTATAATCTTGTTTATAAATAAACTTGTGATTAAGGGGCATTTCATAGAGCACATTTTAAGTTTCAGTGTTATTTGTTCTAAGTGTGGGAAATATTCTAGTCAGTTGGTGATGAATAAGTTGTGAATGTTAACAGAATTCATCTCCTGTATTTCATGCACATGTCCTAAATGATTTAGGAGCAGTTTTCCCCTTTTTAAATATCATGCGATTCTTAGTTACACTCTCTAGAGTTGTGTATGTGTCTTGAACCAATGGAACAACATTATGTTGTGCCTCTACATTTGATTGTCTTCATATGTAGAGACGTGATGGAGATGTGATATGTTGTACAGTATACAGCCATCTTGGAGATTGGCAGTTAAGGCAGGCTTGAGTATCTGTTAGTCCTGTGGTGTTGGAGAACTGGCCCGTTGGCCACAGTGTATGTTGTTGTTCAGGGGGAATAGGAAACTTAATTTCCCCTCTCCCTCCTATTAGTTTGAGCCTATGGCTGTGTTGTTCCTTTTGTAAATATGTTGTGCATTTCCCTTGTAAGCAAGATTTTGTTTAAGAAATCTGATGTCTTAAGCATGCAATTTTGATAGGTTTCGCACCACTCAACAGCCTCTAAAATGTCAAACAGAACAGAATATATATTTTGTATTTTACTGTCCCTTATGCATAAATAAATTTTAACTATATACAAATAGATACATTATATTGTTCGGAGACATTTTTCTCATAAAAAAGGTAAAATACATAAATAAGGACGTTTTATAAATTCATATTTATTTACTGTTCTGTTACACATAAAAATCCATTGAGGCAACAATTTGTGTAAATTATGAAATGCTTTTGTAATGGAAAAACCATTGGCTAAGTTCTCAGTTGTGTCCACTTCAGTGCTTTGTGAGACGCTCCCTGGTTTAGTTTGCAAAATGTTATAATTTAACAAAAATATTAGGTTGTAGTGAAATTGTAATATCTGCAATATGTTTCTCTCCTCTTATAAAGTTATAATTTGCAAGAAATATATTTCCCTTTTCATTTGCAATCTGTAAAAATGTTTCTTGCTATAATAAAGGGCACCTGTGTGTCTTGAACTTATGAAAACGGTCTCTTTTTTCTTTAAATTACTTTACAAGATCTCAAAAGATCAATATCTTCTAGACTTCTATGTGAAACAAGGGATTCATTTAATAATTATAGATCTAAAACAATAAATACTGTATAAACACATGCCTCTTACAGTTCTGGGCAACAATTATTAATGTCATTAGACAAGTAAAAAATAAAAGTGATCTTTCTCTTTATACCTGTAGCACGTTTTTTAATTTGCTGAAGGGGCCAAGTACAAATATTTGATGTAGTGTGTCTCCCTCTAGTGGTGGTAATTATTAGCTGTAAATATAACAATTCATTTACCTAAATGGAAGGTTCAGATGCACTAGTTTTGCAGCTTGTGTATATTGCGTAAAATCAAAACTAAATGAAGCAATATTTGCATGACTAGGCCATGACGATGGCCAGATTAACCTGATAGGGTATCCAGGGAAAAAATAGGGTACTGGGTCCCAAATAATCTCCAGTTTTAAACTGTGCGTTCAATGTGTAAAACATTAACTAGAATAGTACCTGGCTCCATGTTTGCTGTGTGTTAATTTGATTATATACATAAACTGTGGAACATGTAAGCACAAAACCGAAATAATCAAGATGTTTTAATGATATTTTGATAGAGGGCCCCTCTTCAACATATGACCTTAAGATCAGGTAAAAAAGCAGCACCCATCTTAAAGCCCTTACTTTGCCATTGCCAAGTGTCAGAAATACTGTACACTGAACAACTTTGGGTTGCTCAGACAAAGCAAGACATTTGAAGACATAATCTTGGGCTTTAGAAAATTGTGAATTGTGAGTTTTCAATTTTTTTCTGATTTTTTTTGACAAAACTATTAATCAATTAATTGATAAAGTAATTGCCAGATAATCGATAATGAATCTTATTGAGTCAGTTGATATTGTGCTTTAGTGGTGCAAATTCCCAACGTTTCAATAAAATTAGTACAAACCAGCTGACACCATAGACTGTAGGTTGAGGAGCTTATGGGGCCCCTTGAGGTCTGGGGCCTCAGGGCAGTTGCAGGCTTTGCCAGGATGGTAATCCATCCTTGCTTATCACAGGTTAAGAGAATACTGTAGATGCTGACTTTGTACCGTGTTCGTAGTTATAGTTTTTAGTCTGTTTTTAAAACTAGGGAAAGTTACCAGTTTGGATCGACTGAGAGGACTACGACTCCCATGATGCAGCGGTAGTAGCACCGTTGAAGTTCAAAGTTCAAATGTTACTGTAAAAATAGGGTACTCGCTGGATGGCTGTGTGGTCGTTGGGATAATAAACAGCTTGGTGGTCAAAGAGCTAATAGGTTACCACCGCACCGAGTACTGCCAGAGGAAATCGAAAATGGCCTTCAGCTAATCGGCGCCTGCTCTTGCGCTGTTGTCGGCGGATTTACAGAAAGACGGCTTGCTGGGTGCTAACGTTAGCACGCTAGCTTGCCAGGAGCACATAGCAACTGCTGCTAGCTAACGTCACTGGACTGGTACTCTTTAACGTTACCGTCATAGCTTTAGCTATGTTCGTCCAGGAGGAGAAGATATTCGCCGGGAAAGTGTTGAAAATACACATCTGCACCATGGACGGCACGGAGTGGTTGGAGGAGGTCACGGAAGACACCACTATTGAGAAACTGAAGGAGAAGTGCTTGAAACATGTAGGTTTTAGGGTTGTTTGTGTCTCCCTTGCTGCTTTTTTGTCCTGTCACTCCTCTGCCTGGGGTGTTTGCAGTCTATCATGCCCTCTGTGTAAACTGTCAAGTGTCGGTGTCACTGGCTTTGTATTTATAGTAACTGGGTAGACTTTGCTATTTATAATTTAGCAGGTTGACTGCCCCTCTCAACGTAGCTAACTGCCTAACTCTGCCCCTTTTCTGTTCATATTGTCTAGCCTTAGAGGCATTTTGCTTTTCTGGCTGTCTATTATTACACAGCTTATGTTACTTGCACTTCTGTGGCCTATAGCATAAACTCAAGTGGTAGTCAAATGGTTGTTTCTCAGGACAACATGGGAAATAATTCGATTCAAAGACAAATTTTGTGTAACATCAACACATGGGCACAGACATCATGATGAAAGATTCAATTTATTATCAGATCCCATGCATCTACTTTTGTAGAATTATGTATTATATAGGACACAAAAACAACCAGTCGATTAATTGCCTTTTTAAATGACTAGTTTCGCATGCAAAACAGATAAAACTGTCACAGATTGCTTGTCACAGGTTAGATTAGGTTTTCATGTTTTGTCTGGCCACAAAAATATTTAATTAATTCACAATGATATGACAGAGACAAAAATAGCAGATTCTCACAGTGGAGATTCATTTTTTTCTTGATGACTTCAGCAGTTAATCGATAATCAAAATTGTTGTAGATAGATTTACTGTCAGTCAACTAACTGATTAATCTACTTATTTTTTTCAGCTGTAGTGATTTACAAATGCCAGACATGTCCAGATTCTAGATTATTTAATGTGAGAATTTTCTACAGTTGTATATAATTGGAAATTGAATTATTTAAGGTTTGTCAGACAAAAAACACAATTTGACGATGTCACTTCATTACAACATTTTCCAGACTAAACTGTTAATTAAAACAATAATTGGCAGATTACATTGTAATGAAAATAATCTATAGTTTCGCCCTTATTGTTTGCTGTTTTGTATTTCTGAGATGCTTCGTCCTTTGCTTGGTTTATAGTATGTGCATGGAAGTCTAGAAGACCCCAAAACACTTACCCACCATAAACTCATACATGCTGCTACGGAGAGAGTCCTCACTGACACCAAAACTGTCGCTGATGAAAATCTCAAAGATAAAGGTATGTAAAACCCTGTTTGACATGTTCTGGGATTACGACACTACTACACAGTTTTCCATAAACTGACCATGTTTCATATATGTTGTAGAAGTTTTGCTGCTCATAAAGAAAAGACCGCCACCAACGCCTCCAAAGATGGCAGATGTTAGTTCAGATGAAAAGGTAAGCATGAGCAGCTTCAGAATTGAAAGCATTAGAGATGCACTGATAGCATATTTCCTGGCTGTTATTTTTATTTAATTTTTTTTTATAAGGTCTAACCTGCCAATTCCGATTTTGGCCTATTCCGATTTTCTTTCTTTCTAAGAGCTGTAATTGACAGCATACTCAAACTTTTGTTTAGCTTTTCTTGATTGGAAAATTCTTGATTAGTATCTGCATTCGCATTGGCTTTTCTGAGTGGCGTCCATTCAACTGTATGTTCCTTATAAAACACTGACTATTAAATAATGTGTACTCTTTACATTTTGTTTTTACAGGACCTTCTCTCACTCAGACACATCTCAAAATAAAACATTCTCCAGTTTAGAGTGCTATACAGAGCTTTCTGTACAAAGAATATATAACTGAAAATAAACTGCAGTATAACACAGCTCAGTGTACGTCTCTCCATTTATGTCTACTTATTGCCACTGTATTTTAGTGTTTGTTCACAAACTACAGTAATCTGCTTACCTTGCTTTTACCTTCAGACGCACACCTACACCAGTCTGTTCCTCTCTCTCTCTCTCCCTCTCCCTCTCCTCTCACTTCATTTATCAGCAGTTTTATAAACACTTGCTTTTTGATTATTTTTTTTTCACCCGCAAATCCGTTTTCACAGCAGCAGGTGAGATGCGTGTGGAGAAGGCCCATTCTGGTCCCCAGCTGATTGATCGGTGCATCTCTAGAAAGCATCATTATTTTAAAATTCTGCAAAAACTGGCAATAGAAATGTGAGGTCTTTATTTTGCTTGCTTTTAATGATCTCTGTTTGTTCTTTGTTCTTGTCGTCACAGAAGAAACAAGATAACAAGGCTCCAGACAAAGATTCAATTCTAAAAGCTACCGGCAACCTGTCCACGCGCCACACTGACCGCACTGTGACCCAGCATAACATCAGAGATGTAAGGTTCTTGGTAGAAGGGATTTAGTTTACGAGGGGTATCAAAAAGTTAAATCTAACATGCAGATCTTACAAGTAAGAATTATTCTACCTGTGTAGACCATTCAAAATTTGGTAGTGTATCAAAGATGTTATTAATTTTTTACTGTGTTTGTGTGCACGTGTTTTATGTTGCTCCAGTTTCAGACGGAGCTAAGAAAGATCCTGGTTTCTCTCATTGAAGTCGCCCAGAAGCTTCTTGCCTTGAACCCTGATGCTGTTGAACTCTTCAAAAAAGCCAATGGTGAAGCTTACAATCCCTTTTTTTAAAACAATTTCCAGGTCTATATCAATAATCCTACTGTCAAGAAAGTTGTACACACATTTACCACACATAAGGTTCTGCAGCTGCAGTGGGAGAAGAAATTTTTTTTTTAAAACAGGGGAAACATTCAATAACACATTCATCCATCATAATAATGCGCTAGAATCTTTTTATATACAGCCTATGGCTAGAACACAGTGGGGAAAAAGGTTGGGTACACCCTACACATGTCACCAGGTTATTACATTACCTACACATGCACACAAACACATTCACATGTAAGGACAGTACAGGATTTCCAATCTGAGCACCCAGAGCTTACCAACACACATACATGGGGATAAGATGCAAACTCCACACATAAAGGACCCAACTGGCTGCTGTGAAGCAACAGTGCAAACCGCTGAACCACTTTTCTAAATTCATAGGAAAGTGTATTTTAAATTACATTTTAAATCTCTGACCAAATGAGGATGAGATACTTTGTGTTCTGTCTTTATGTACCGTAGAGTATTTATTTTACATATTTTGTTGAATTGTATGTATGTATTTTTGCTGGAAAAATAGATTGTGACGATGATGATTATTGTTGTAGAGTTTTGGTTTTGATCTCTTTGTGTTTCGGGGTCTTGTAGCAATGTTGGATGAAGATGAAGAGGATCGGGTGGATGAAACAGCCCTTCAGCAGCTCACCGAGATGGGTTTCCCAGAGAGCAGAGCCATCAAAGCTCTTAGATTGAACCAGTAAGTCTGAGCTGGTTTAATAACTCCTTCACTACTGATAATGAGTCAAACTATTTGGTAACTATCTGTTATCAAATCACCTCTGGAAGTTGAGAACTTGTTTACTTTGAGAAAACAATGAGGACAATGTTGTGGGTTGTTACTGTTCTTGGGTAACTCAACTTTAGTCTAATTCATCCTGAAACCTTTTCTCATCCTATACTTTCTTTCTGCAGCATGTCAGTGACACAGGCAATGGAGTGGCTTATCGAGCATGTAGATGACCCCTCTGTAGACGCACCAATACCTGGCCAGGACTCTTCTGGGGCAGCAGGAGCCACAGCTTCCGCCATACCAGGCCCCTCAGCCTCTGGTTCGAACCTTCTGCGCAGCCTCTCCAGCCAGTCGAGCACAGAGCACGAGTGCAGTAGGCAGGACGAGCTCACAGAGATCTTTAAGAGGATCCGCAGGAAACGGGAGTTCAGACCAGATTCAAGAGTAGGTGACTTTATCCTTTCAGAGCTATCATTCAGTTCTTGGATTATTACTTACTTTAAAAAAACTCATCTTGGTGCTTGCACCTGCCAGGTTGAGCTACTTCTGCCGCTGTACAAATTATTGTTGTGGAAATTGGATCTTGCTTGTGAGGGATTAAGCAAATAATTGAGTAACAACCAACCGTTGTCTTTGAAAAATTTATTAGTAAAAGAGAATAAACAGAGAAGTACTAAAACACATATACAGCTGGTCCAGAGACCTGCCGCCTAGGGCAGCTTTGGGCATCTGGCCCCGAACAAAGGGATGCATAATCATATACAGAGTCTAGGTTTCTATATTTTGGGGAACAGAGATCCTCTCCCAGCCTTTTATCCACATTCGAGGAGAGGAACAACAAGAAGGTGAAAACACCAAAACAATCTCACAACTGTGACCTAAACGCTAGTAAATGTGGACGGACTAACATAAAGAGTATACAACAAGGAAAGGTTAAGGATAAAAAAACATAATACGTATATATCTAGGGCTGGTCAAATACGTCGACTCGCATTATGTACGTCGAAGCGTCGCTCCATCCGGTGTTACTGGGATTCCCCCAGGAAGCTCCTGCTACAAGACCTCGCCTTCAACCGTCTAAAGTTTGGGAGTATTTTTGACAGACACTCAACAACGTGGTACTCGTTCCGTGAGCTTCACTGCAGCACAACTGCTGTCCACGAATAGCCAGCATGAAGCAGGATGAACACGTGAAGCGAAAGTATCCTGGAGCACTGACGGCAGCACCGCAAATCGTGTGTACTTTCTATCTCCACACAAGCACGGAACATTATCAGCACGAGGACACGTAGTCCATTAGAATGTATTTCTTCATTGCCTTCATGTTAAAAGTAAATTCTGCCCTGCTGCCGTCATGGTACACCTAGGGGTGGGCAATATGGCAAAAATATCACATCACGATTTATTTTAGGCACGATTCACTATCTTATCACGATTCATTTTCCTGTTTGTTTTTAAGACTATTTTGGAAGTTATTGGTTTAAAAGAAAAAAATAACACTACTTTATTAATCACATACAATATAGACTAAATTTAAACAAGAAAGAACTGATTCATTTTGTTCTTTTATTTATTTATTTTTCCATTTTAAAGATTTTAATATACATTTTTTGATTTAATTTTCCCATGAATGAATTTGCTGTTTGCTTCTGCATATTTAAAAACACAAAGACAGGGAGTTGTTGCAGATATTGATTGGCATTTACAGTTGCCAATAGCACTGAATGTGCGTTACGCCCCCCCACACTGTCATGTAGACTGGATCAGCTCTCAGTGAGTACACACTGCGACCGGAACGGGACTGAACACAGCCTCCAAAACCGACAGAGGCCAATTTTGACAATAAGGAATACAGGACCGAAGTGGTTCTTGCCGGGTTTGACTCTTTGACTCATTGTTATTATCACAACACATCAGTGAAGTTTGTTGAAATTTGATGCTTTTAATGTGAGGACACCGGATCGGATTCAGCCCTGTGCGCGTTCCTGAGCCTCTCTGATACTACAGCGACAACACGGCAGCTAACGACATGCAGCCCTTTAACACCATAAAACAATAGTCTCACAGCAAAAAACTCCATGTAAGGATACAAAACAACAATAAAGGTTTATGTACTGAAGCTCATCAGACCAAACAGATCCAGATGATGTTGAGTAAAAACACAGTGAACATGACAAAAGCTGGTCGGTGAGAGTCACGTTAGCTCACCAGCTAACGCCGAGCTGTTGCTAACGTTATCTAGTGCAAAGTTGTATCGCTTTCCACATTACTTAACCAACTAACGCGACCCATATTACTAACCTGTGTACCATCGGTATTATGTCAAAGTGTTGATTTAGCCTGCTAGAAAGGATGTAACTGTAAAGAGCAAATGTGGAGCAATTTGTTTACTAGCCTACAGCGATGCAGGCAGGGCAGCCAACTTACGCTACATTAGCTCGGACCTGCCGCTGTATGCTTTGTAACTTTCAATTTAGATTTATTGTGGTTTTACCAATACTCAGGTAGACAGCTTCTCCACCTCTCAGTCGCTGTAACTAATGTGACCCACATAATATACCACTATATAAACTGCAACAAAACAATTCCTGGCTTTGTGATAGGGATTTCTCCGGGGGTTCTTCTGCTTTGTCAGTGGCAGGGCCGTCATCGGCCTGGCAGTAAACCCTGGCTCTGTTCTGGTTTGATGTCCTTTTTATTACTGCTGGTGTAACTTCGGTGGGAGCAGTATAAGTTAATTTGACTAAAATAAAGCTTATAAGAACTTGGTCATTATTGAATTCAGAGTTGCGCGACCGAAACGGTCTGCTAACTTTACAAACAAACCAAAGAAAAAGATAACTTCCAGGAAAGGGAGCGTGACTTCGCGTGTGTTGCTTGAAAAGAACAAAGAAATCTTCCAAACTCCTTAAGGCGTTGCTGGGAGAAGGGGCATGCTGGGCGTGTGCCAAGGGCTGCTGAAGAGGTACCGAGGAAGAAGACAAGAGAGTGAGCGCGTGTCTGGCGCTGTGTTTTGTTTCCTAGGGCGTGTCCCAGGAGGAGGGCTTTGTTTCCCCTGAGGCTTTGTTTCCGGTCTCCTAAGAAAGGCTGTCCGTTAACTTTAATGTCTATTTTAATGTCTATTTGCGTGTATTTCAATCAAATACATTTCGTAGGGATCACAGCAGATGAAAGAGCATCTTGACTAAATACTTCCTGGATAATATTGGCTGTTAAACGTTCTTACTTAGAGAATATATAAGCAAGTTTTACGAACATGGCATCAGATTACGAACAATAACATATAGTGATACATTAAACAGTGGGAGAGGCATTAAAACAATGACAAATACTTAATTTGTCCTCTGGGGGGCACTGGTTCCATGAGAGGAACCAAGGATCCCGTCTGACTATTTTACTTAAATTTAACTCAATCCTTGGTTCAGGAGCTAGGAAAATTGGTTATTTAACACATAATATTTCTGTATTATATCATTTCGAAGAGTATATAACGGTGCTGGGAACAAAGAATTAGTTACAACATGAATTAAATGCAGAAATGTTGGTGACCATTGATGAGGATTAAAAGCACTGCAAAATTAACTTATTTGTGGTTCCTTCTTTCCAACATAGTTTTTAACAAGAACGGGGTAATAATTACTCAATTGAAGTGGCAAGAACTACTAAATAACTTTAAAGATTAATTTAATTAAAACAAGTTAATAGGGAAGTTTATAAGGAGACAATATTCATTTGTCCACACAAATGAATTCGGGGCAGGGTCCTTCTCAGGCGTCTGGAGTTTCTCACATCTAGGTGTGAGAAAGGGAGAGGGCATGTTAAGATTCCAAATTAATGGCTCTTTGGTGGGGTAGGGAATCAAGACTGAAGAAGGGGGTCAACTTCGTTACCATGGTCCACCGCCTCTTGGTCTTGGGAGTGTTTAGGGGTTGTTTTGTTTATGGCTGCTGAAGTCCTCACAGCCTGGTTCAGGTTGATGTTAGTCTCTGGACAAGGTTAATATTGTCATTTTAATAGTCATGCATAGAGTCTGTTATGTAGGTTTTATGGCGGAAACTGCAGCACTTGGGAGTGGTACAAACCTTTCACCCCCTCCTTTGGGGTACTTCAGCTTTCTGTTGAGGGCACTAAATGTAAGGGTGCTCCAATCGATCGGTCACCATAATGTCTTTAACTAGTTTGATCGGTGGTCGCTAAAAAGGCCAATAAGAAAAGCCGATCAGATGATGCAATACTCGCCAGACCAATTTAACGGCAGCTAAAATGTTTCACTACGCTGTGTGAGTGGTTTTCAAAGCTAGCTAGCACCAAAGTCCTTCTCAGACAAGAAGGGATTAATGCACCCACATAATCATTTTAGAGTTGAGCAGCAATCAGACAAGTGGAGCAACATGCAGGAGTGATCATGTGAAACTGTCGCAGCTGTGCTCATCAAACTCGCACGCCACCCGCAACCGCAGTTTAACAGACACAGCACATCAGGCAGAGAGAGAGAGAGAGACTGATCCTTCAGTGTGAGTTTCCTGATGCAAAGTGCGGCGCCACTCAATCAGCTGACTGCATCTCTCTCTGTTTTCGTTACAAAAATGGAGACCTTTTGCCTCCCGTCCAGATTAAAACGGTGAATCAGAAGATGTTTGTTTGAAAACACTGCTGACCTGATGGACAAAACGGAGGACTTTATAAAACGATAACACACACTCACATTTGGCTTTGTGAGTCGGTCTTATCTGTCATGCAAAGCAAAAACACGATGCTACTTACAGAGGTTTAGTTTTGGTATATTAAAATATAAGTACTGTGTAAATAACACTTAACAGTTAGCCTAGCCTACTGTGCATGTCGCTGTATTTACTTTGCGACAACTCCCAGTGTGTTTTCCGCCGCCGTCTCTCGTACTCCCGAGTTACTTTCAGTAACAGTTCCACTTCATTGTCAGTCAGTTTTTCATTATTTTCTATTAATTTCTTCTTTCGCTAAATCGTCTGCTACTGCGGAGTAGACCATCTGCTTCATGTTTACACTGGCACGCGCATGCCCAGTGTAGCTACCTGAACGGCCACTAGATGTTTGTTTTCAGTCGTTCTAATATAGACAGAGATCAACTCTGATACGCAGCTGACACTGCTGTGGACGGAGAAGATCGTTTTTGTTATAAAACTGTTTTAAAAACGTAGCAGTGTGGATGTAGCCTCACATTACCCCACTCCCATTTTCCCCGTAAATCTCCCGTATTTTTAACCTTTAAATACGGCCAGAAGGTTTTTATTTGACTTTATAAAGTGTTTGCTACTCTCCCTCTGGTAAAGTCAGTGGCAGCATGTAAGATATGTAGACTGTGCTTCCTGCACAAGGATTAAAAATGAAAACAATCCACTGAAATGATATAAGACCTATAGCCTACTAATGGCAAATCATATGAAATTAGAATGAATATAGTAGACTGTATAATATGGAATTTACATTGTAGCCTATTTTTATTTATTTAAATTTTATTTTCAGATTTCACTGAAGGCAGTTTTGACTCCTCTGTAGCCCCTCTCCCTCTCTCCACTCCTCTCTCTCCCTGCTGTTTGTTCTGTTTTTGTAGTTATTCCACAGGAAAGCTATATTTGTAAAGCTATAAGATGTTCACAGTAACCAGGCAAAGGCTGCTATGGTTTAAGTCTCTAACACAGATTGAGCAGAATTTGTTGCCCATGTTTCCAGGGAAAAAAATAAACAGTTGTCATTTCATGATACTTTTATCATCTGTTAACTTTAACACTTAATACATTGTTTTTAGGACCAATTAAATAAATATACAGTATACTGTATAATGCTACATGATAAATAAAAGGCTCCAAATAGACCTAGTGATCGGGGATTGGTGATTGGTATCGGCTGATACTGCTTTCAGCAATCGGTGATCGGCACAAAAAATCCTGATCGGAGCACCTCTGACTAAATGTACTGTTATCATGTAACGAACATGGATTAGTTCAACCTCAAGTTGGTAAAAATATTACTGTAATGTTGCAGTGGGAGTTTACCTGCATTTCCAGCATGTTGTGTGAAGCTGTCACCCTATCTGTCTATAGCCGCTGTCACTCTGTTTTTTTTTCGTGAGTAAGTTACTGTGCCAAAATGCAGCTCGTTGTGCTGAATGAAAGGTACGGAGCCGGTGTTGATCTGCCTCTGAGCCTGAGTAACGTTGAAGTAACAGAGCCTGAACATGTCTGGAGAGAAGCCACAGCCTGCATGCCGGTGTTTCTGCGTTTATTGCTGGATTTCTGTATGAAAGCGGTTGTGTTATGGATTATACTCACTCATGAGTTCAAGCGAGCACGTGTACAAGCAAACGCCTAGTTGCAATCTTAAAACCGCACCGCTAGTGGCCGCTGAAAACTACATAATGCCCCTTTAAGAAATGCTACTATTGTCATTTTTATGTGCTTCATCAGGATGATTGTATAAAATATTGATTAGACATATTTTTGCTATTTATTTTGGATAAATTGCAGGGCTCAACGTTAAACTTTTTTGCAACTGGCCACACTGGGCCAGTCAGTTTGAAACTTACTGGCCCTCCTTACAAAAGTAATTTATCAATGTTACAACAAAACCAAAGACTTATAAGTTATGTTATACTGTTAACATGTTTAATCTGTTAAATACATCCTGGATAAAAAAAACAAAACAAACTAAAATGTAAACACAGTTTAAAACAATTTACTTTCAAAACAAAACATACTCACAGACTCAAACATGACGTGCTCTCCTGCTGACAGCCATTTAATAAAAAACTTTACACAGAGCAGCGGACACAGATCGCTTCAATCCTGATTGACAGATCGCCATGGTAGCGACTTGTCAATCACAAGGTAGTCCCGCCCAAAAGCCTATGCTGCATTATCCTCTATTTCCCCCTAAATAGGACCATAATTTACTCAATGAACATCATGCTGTGTTGAAGAATACTTGAAACTAGCAACTGAGACTAAACTCATTAGGAAAGTCTTTACAGAGGTGATAATTCAGCTGAGAAGTAGCAACATTTTACCATTATTTCTAATGGAACCGGACTTCTTTTTGCAACCTGCGGACTCGCCCCCTGCTGGCTGTTACAGAAAATGCAGTTTTAAGTTCTGTCTGCATGGTCTGGATTGGACAATAGTGTGGGCCATGAGCTGCAAAGCAAATGCAGGATGTTGAGTGTCAAATTTTTTTGCTTTCGAGTTGCTAGTTCAACTGTCCCGACGTTACTTTTTACTGGCCATCGGGCCACCGTTATTGTCGAGCCCTGAATTGGTATCTTAATCAAGTAATAGGCAACTTTTTTTCTGTAGAAACAAAATTAGTTGTTAGATTAATCGACTAATCAAAAAAATAATCGTTAGATTAATCGACTTGCAATCATTATGTACAGCCCTATAAGACATAACCAGGGTTTTTCCTGCATAGAGAATTTTTTGGCGCCCCCCAAAGAGGTTTTAGTGAGCCCCAAAGGAAAATCACCAGCGCCACAATGATCAGAATTGGAGGGACCTTTCAAATCCTCTCCGAATGTGTTTTTAAAAGCCATTTATCAAACAACTGTTGAGCAAGCAGAACATAAACTTAAATACAACTGACTTTCAGCAGTCACCTCTCCTCTCATCCACAGCAGCTGTAATTTACACATGCAGCAGGCGCTCTTTGGTTTTCTGGGCATTACGTGACGCTCACCTGTTCCTGTTCTCTCCTGCCTGCTTATCGCCGCAGGGAGATCAGGTGCCATTCATGCAGCCATGTGCTGTAGCTCGTCAAAGTCACTTTTCGTGAACCGACCAATCACAGCCAGGGGGAGGCGGGACATTAAAAAAGGTTGAGGCACTACAGCAAACTTTAGAAATGTTAAACTCGTTTTTCTGTATGCACGGTTTTTATTACTGACTTGTGTAGTTCAGTGCTTGAAGTAGTACCGGCACCTTGACATTTTACTCTTTGGCGTACCGGGACTTCTCCCAAGTTGCCGGTCCTCTCCTCTGCCCTCTCCGTATCTGGGCGCTACGTGACGATCACCTTTTCCTGTTCTCTTTGCCTGCTAAACTCTGTCGGCGGAGAGATTTGTTTTCCACTTCCACAAGCACTGCTGACAAGTTAGTAATTTGCATAAACAAATCAGAGATTGACCACCATGTAGAGCATTTTTCTTGCACAATAATTTAATGACCGAAAACAACCCACAAAAATTAAACTGCTGTTTTGTCCAACTGGAATTAATATTATAGGCCACTAAGTTATAGTAACCTGTACGATTATCTGAAATTATAATGAAAATACAAACATCAGCACTAATCAAACCACAGTGGTGTAGGCTAATATCAGAAAATGGTTTTATTTGTGAAACGGCTGAATCTCAACTAATAAACTATTTGTAGGCAGAATATCCAGTGAAGTGTAACTTGTAAATATATTATTATACTAACATTATACTTTCTATTTAATGTTATATTTATTAATACACTAATTTATACCTTTACTCCTCCATGTTATGGATATACTGTATTTTGTTATCGAATGGTCAGAAATAACAAGAAAATGTATACATTTCGGTCGTAACGTAACTCATTGCCTGTACTGTACACGTACTGATCATGCTTACTGCCCATTCTGAACCAGGAAAAACCCTGCATAACAATAGTAATAATAATAAAAGTAAAACAACATGCATAAAAGATTAAATGTATGAGCACACAATTTACAGAACTGTGACTGTTTATGTTGTTGTCAGTAGACTGAGAAGTTCTTAACCTTTTGTTTCTGCAGGCTGTCATTGCATTGATGGAGATGGGGTTTGATGAAAAGGAGGTGATTGATGCTCTGAGGGTGAATAACAACCAACAGGATGCTGCGGTAGGTTTACACATCCATTGTTATACTGCTTACAGTCATTTAAGCAGGCCGTGTTTGGCCCTTTGACGCAAAAACAATGCAAAATTTGACAATGCTTGACTTTACATATCAATTGAAAGGAATATTCATTAGTTTAAGAGGAGTAATCCAAATTTAGTGGGGTGTCATGGTATGAAAAAAACATGTGGACACTGTTCTGTATCCTGCACTGTGACCTCGGTGATGTCAATGCGTTTTCAAAAAAGAAAAGAGATTTTGGTTTCTCACTGTATTTTATTTTATTTTTTTTCCCTCCTGCAGTGCGAGTGGCTGCTGGGAGACAGGAAACCTTCTCCAGAAGATATGGACAAAGGCATCGACACCAACAGCCCGCTTTTCCAAGCCATTCTGGAGAATCCAGTGGTCCAATTGGGTCTAACCAATCCCAAGACTTTGCTAGGTACAGTCTAGTCAGATTTAGTGGAACAATCAGAATTGTGGGTAATTTGACAGACAAAAGAATCTCTGAAATCACACTTAAAAGGAAAGCCCAACAATGTCAAAAACTATCTTTCGCATATTTGCCTATTTTGTTTTGTGGTAATGTTTTTGAACACTAGGGCACAGCCACAGTGCCATTCTGTAAATGTAAGAAATCACATGCTGAAGCAGACCTTACTAAGGCAGGCTGTGGGAACACAAACGGACCTAAAAAATAAACAGTGTTAGTAAATGCAATTAACTTTACAGACTGAATATGTTTAACGCTTATTATTAATATTATGGTAGGATAGTTCCTGGTCACTGTGTTTTACTCACTTTTTCACTTTTTATTGGGAATTGCTAAAATGGATAAGTGTAGGATATAAGCTTAAAACAACTGTGCTTCAACTTTTTATTATGTACTGATGCACCTATGTGTTGCCGTGTGTGTGTGTGTGTGTGTGTGTGTGTGTTTGTTTATATACATATATGTACTCCACTAAACCTCTGAAGGTGTGCTGTGTTATGTGGCACCAAGACGCTAGCAGCAGATGCCTTAAGTCCTGTAATGGATCTTACTTTTTTGTCCGCCACATCCCCACAAATGCTTGATTAGATTGAGATCTGGGAAATTTGGAGGCTAAAGCTGTTTCTCAATCAGCGTTCTTGTCTGTACTGTACTTCTTGTGGACTTGTGAAACGTCATCGGTCGCAGCCAAAGTACTGTTCCAATTCAAAAGTCCGCATCTAGCCAAGTACAGTCAAATACCTGGATGTGTTCTCTCTCCGCTCGTTTTACGGAGCCTGCATCGGTGGTGACTTGTGTGGACTTCGGATATCCAGGTATCCCATAATGCGTTTCGCTGCCAAAAATATATTGAGTATTGAGAAACAGCCCATGTCAACACCTTGAACTCATTATGCTCCTCACACCATTCCGGAAACACTGTTGCTTTGTAGCAGGGTGCATTATCCTGCTGAAAGAGGCCACGTCCATCAGGGATTACCATTTCCATTAAAGGGTGGACATGCAGACTGCAACAATGTTTAGGTAGGTGGTACATTCAGGTAAAGTCACAACCACATGAATGGCAGGACCCAAGGTTTCCCAGCAGAACATTGCCCAAAGCATCACACGGCCTCCACCGGCTTGTCTTCTTCCCATAGTGCATCCTGGTGCATTGTGTTCTCCAAGTAAGCACAAGCACCCAGACATCCATGTGATGTAAAAGAAAATGTGATTCATCAGACCAGGCCACCTTCTTCTGTTGTTCTGTGGTCCAGTTCTGATGCTCACGTGTCCATTGTAGACTCTTTCAGCCGTGGACAGGGTCAGCATGAGCACCCTGACTGCGCTACGCAGAACCAGCATCAACTTTTTCAGCAATTTGACATGCTGTAGCTTGTCTGTAGGAATGGACCACGCGGCCTGCACATGCACCAATGAGCTAATGACCCCATCTTCGGTTCACCACTCTTCCTTCCTTGGACCAACTTTGATAGGTACTTACCAGGGCTGTTGCGCTAACCACAAAATTGAAATACCGTGCTATTTGCCAAGCCAACCACAGAGGATGGCAAGCACTGCAAAAACCATAATGTTCATACTTTCTTTCTTTACACTTCAGTGTGTATTAAATTAATTAATTAGTGATAAAAAAATTCCACAAGCATAACAAGCTCTGTAATGGTTCAGGGATGGATTGCCATGGGCTGTCTGTGAAGCAACTTCAAACTTAGAAGCTTAAGTTTGCCACGTTAAATGTTGTTTTGCTGTTTATTTTGAAGGTTAGCTAACTTAGCTGCGCAATATGCTAATGCCAATGTGGCTAGCAGACTTGGCGATATTGGACTAATGTAATATTGAGGGACAGTTAAGAGAAACTGTGTGAACATTAGCTGCAGTACTTGACGTCAAGCTGCATGTCATATTTTGTTATCAGTAGTCGTGGTTGACTTGAAGATAGGTATATGTGAGTTTAATTAATTAAAAAATGATCTCTAACTACAGACTATAAAAACTTTGTCTCTTTCCTCCATAATTTGTTTTCCTCCGTGGATTATCCATAATTGCCTCTCAGCGGTGCGCCAACTTAAAAAGTGAAAGTAAAACGTTAGAAAGTCCCGCCTTGCATCAATTCATTGATACCTTTCTTTGTACTGTATATTTCTTTGTTATTTTAGTTGTTTATTTTGAGTATAACCCAGCATTGCATGAGTTCACGTTCACAAACAGACACAATCAGTTCACCAAAAACATGAGTATGTTTAATGATTGTTGCTGTTTGAGAATGTTTACGCACTGTGTTTACGCACTGTATGGACACACTGCAGGTCTGATATATCAGACATATCAGATTATATTTACAAAAGACTGCGACAGGTACGTATTTCTGCCCACCTAGTTGTTGGATGCAGATGTGTAAACAGCCTCTTTGGTCCCTGATTCGGAATATGCAAAGTCATTCACCTGTGGTGAAAATAAAACCGCCCATATTCCAAATATGGCTTTGCTTTGTTCATTAAAAGAGAGCTATAGCGCATCTCTTTGTTACTATTTTTTAAAGGGTTAAATTTGCTATAAAATGCAAGGTGAAAAAGAACACAACATATAAGGCTGATGGAGACAATCAAACTTCGAGCAGCAGGGTATGTCAATAAGTCATGTTTGTATCGTCTGAACAGTTAAAGAGTTCTATCAAAGAAATAGTTTTGACACTTTTGGGGTCTTAAATTATATCTCCTGAGGTATTAAAATGTCTTAAAAAGCATTGAATATGACAGTTAAATGGTGCAAGAACACCTGTCAGTGGTCATAATGTTATGGCTGATCGGTGTAGTTTTTAAGGAACTCGGCAGGTAGGTTTCCCAAACATTTTGGAAAACTACCCACAGTTCTTCTGTAGATTTAGGCAGCCTCAGTTGCTTCTCTCTCTTCATGTAATCCTAGACAGACTGAAGGATGCTGAGATCAGGGCTCTATGGGGGCCATAGCAACACTTCCACGACTCCTTGTTCTTCTTTACCCTGAAGATAGTTCTTAATGACATTCATTGTATGTTTGGGGTCGTTGTCATGTTGCAGAATAAATTTGGAGCCAGTCAGATGCCTCCCTGTATCTCCCTTTACTTCTCAGCATTAATCCTGACCAAATCTCTGACTCCGTTTGCAGAAATGCAGGCAAAAACTTGAAGGAACATCCACCATGCTTTACTGTTGCCTGCAGACACTCATTCTTTCACAGCTTTCCTGCCCTTTGGTGAACAAACTTCTGCTACAGCCAAATATTTCAGTTCCTGTGTTTTTTTGCATAGTTGAGTCGCTTGGCCTTGTTTCTATGTCAGAGGTCTGGCTTTCATGAAGGCCACTTCTGATGACATTTCTCTGGACAGTGGATGGGTGTACCAAGGTCCCACTGTTTTCTGCTGCTCTGAGCTGATGGCACTGCTGGACACCTTTTTAGATTGGAAAGGGAAGTAAGCATGATGTGTCTTTTATCCGCTGCAGTAAGTTTGTTGGCTGACCACTGTGTCTACGGTCCTTAACATGGAACAGCACATCTGGAAACCCCTGTCTGCCTTGAAATTTCTTTCTGGGAGAGACCATGCTGATGCAGTATACCTACCTTGTGTCTTGTTGCTATGCTCAGTCTTGCCATGGTGTATGACTTTTGACAGTTAACTGTCTTTAGCAACCTCACCTTGTTAGCTGAGTTTGGCAGAGTTTGACCAAGTTTTATTCCTCCTAAACAGCTGCTTCTGTTTCAGTTAATGATTGTGTGTCAGAATCAGCTTTATTGCTAGGTATGTGTACACATACGAGGAATTAGACTCTGGATTGTACAATGCTCACTGTGTGTGTGTGTGTGTGTGTGTGTAAAATAATGAAACACAGGCTGCAGTATAGAGAACACATATATACAGCCTGAGTACTTCAATTGAAAGTTTCTTGACAGAATGGAACAGATGATGTTTTTTACATCGAATTTTATAGATTTTTAAAAGCGGCTGGTTTTGTTAAATATATTTATTTCTTACTTCTTGTATGCAGCATTTGAAGACATGCTGGAGAATCCTCTGAACAGCACCCAGTGGATGAACGACCCTGAGACTGGCCCAGTCATGCTCCAAATATCCAGAATCTTCCAGACCCTCAATCGCACATAGAGCCCGTGTGACTGTGGCAGCTTGTGTGTGTGTTTGCGTGTGTGTGTGTTCTTCTGAGTGTGGCAGAGACACAAGTATTGTTTTTGCCTTGTAAAGACAAGCCGGAGGAGTCAAAATATGAATTAAGATGTTCTACATATAACTATTTATACCAGTGCAGTAAAAAAACACTTATACACGACAAATGTTAACAGAATTGTTATTATTACAGTAATAATAAGAAATGGAGATATAGTATGTTGTTTTTACATTTTAAAGAGATCGATTTATAGTTATGACAGACATGATTTATTTTATATAATTTCTCCATGTGCAAAAATGACATCAGACATCAATTTAATGTTTACACTTCAAAGACACCTGTTTTTGTATGTTTTGCAATATTTAAATATCAATTACAGTTCTGTCTGACTCTTAATTGTTACATTTCTTCAGTGGTGAATTGTTGGAAGACTTCTGTCAGTATCATGTTTGGTTTTTCTTCCCCCGTTGTCTTGTTTTTATCACTTCTTGAAATTGAGAGGCTGGTAGTCAAAACTGTTTAGCTAATTGAAAATGGGCTTTGAGTAACATTACCTCTCTCTCCATTCATGCCTGTGAGGTCACTGTAAGTCAGCCGCCTCTCAATTTAAAAAGGAGAACATTTGTCCTTAAGCGTCTTCTAGAATATTTATTTTACTTTCTTGCCTTTTTAGACAAAAGCTGTAAACAAAAATGTGTGTGTCTTAGTCATGTTTTTACAAGAAAATTATATATTAGGCCTGTGTGTTTATTGTCAATGTGCTCTTGAATGTCATATTATCATGTTGCGCTCATTTAGCACTTGTTCACCTCTATGAATATCATTCACTGCAGCAATGAGGAAGTGAAAACGGGGGTTCATGTTTTTTCTCAAAAGGCTGTAGTGGGATGTTAAAAGAAGCTGAGCCTAATCAAAAGGTGTTTGCCTTTTTTAACCTGTAATCTGAAAATATGAAGATGCATGCTCACTTCAAGCTGCGAAGGTGCAAGCATCCTCATACACACAAAGATATAATGGAATTTGAGACGCAACTTTTTTTCTTTTGAGAGCAATGAACATTTATGCTGTCAAACCAAACCAAAATGTCACTAAATAACCTGCCTTGTCATTAGATGTACCCATTGTAAAATACCCTGTATTTCTGTGCAATAGCAAGGACTTCTGTTGACCTGTAAAGAAATATATTTGGTTTGAGTGTTCGAGATGTGTGAACTACAATGGGTAGTGTGTTACACAATATTAGCCTTTGCATTGAGTACTTAAAAGCTCCAGCTACAAGAAGGTGAGCTGAGTTTCACCTGGTTGTACTGAGAGTTAAAAACAGTATGGAGGGTGGTGTGTTTTGCCAAGCTTTTGAGTGTTTTTATTCAATTTTTAAAAATGTGGTATTGATGTGACTTTCTGCTCAGGGAGGCTGAGATTGTTTTTCTAAACCTGTCATTATGGCAAACCTCTGCTCTCACCCCCTTCTAGTTTGGCATATGAAAATGGCTTTAACTAATCTGTTTCAAACTTTGCTTATGAATAAGAGCACCACAAAATTTGGTTTCGTAAATGCAATATTTGAAAATATTTAAATGTTTTTAGAGAGAAGTGTCTGTTTGAACTATGTATTATTACATTATTTATGTCAAAGCCAAACTAGTAACTTGTTCTTATTTATAACATTTTTAGCAAACCTCAAAGCTAATCTTCAAATGTGAAAAGATTAAATGATTCAAATGTTGTTTTTACAAACCATTATAAAGTATGCTTATGGATTGGTAGGTCATGGTGTGATTTAATGTATTCCAACATGTTTGAATGAAGAAGGATTTCTACACTTCTACACACCTGTGGCCAGCTGTCTCACCACCTCCATGCTTTGTACTGGCATGTATACAAAATTGATTGAAAGTAATATCGTAAAACAAGCACTGGGAGATGGTACGTTTAAAGAAAAGGTTCACAGAAAATGCAGTCACCTTTAAAAATGGTCAGAAGGAACAGAAAAGAACAAATGAACTTTATTGCTTAGGGACACTGAAGAATTGTTGAAGTTTGTTGTTTTTCACTTAGCTTTCATGCAGGACTGTCCCAGATTAACAACCTATGCAATATACTCTCACTGTTTATTCAAACAGCCTCATGACCACTGGCATCTAAATCACTATTGCATTAAAGTTATTTTTTGTGGCTGTATTCTTTGGATGCTGTGTTTTTCTTTATGTCAGTGTCAATTTTATTTCTATAGCACATTTAAAAACAACAACAGCTAACCAAAGTGCTGAACAGGGTCGTTGTCTTTAAAACCCTCATGTATCCCTAAGGACATTTTTGTCTTTTTCAATTTTGATTTTATTGCCATTTTGAGTGTGTTTATGCCATTGGCATGATTTTTTGTCAAAAGTAGTATTTTAAAAAAAAAAAATTTAAATTTGAAAATTTTTTATAGTGTAGAAAATACACGCTGTAAACGTGCACACATTTATCAATATAAAAAAAAAGATGTCTGGCATGAGGGAAATGATGCGGTTTTGCGTGTGGTTCTCTCTCCTGCAGACGCCATGGCGTCCGGCTCGTTGGGTCCTCTTTTGTGCTTAGGCGGTTCTCTGTGGCTCCTTGTGGAACGTGGACGCTTTTTTTAACCGGCCTGTAACGACTGCAGAGCTGCCCGCCTAGACGAACGCGTGCGCACCGTTCTAATGGACTGGAGACCCGGGTGCACGGCGGAGCTCCGGCTGAAATAATATCTTGCTTCTGGCATATTTCTCCTGCAGTCTATCTCTCCGTCACTGTCAATGATCGCTCGGTAAAGACTAAAAACATATGAAATCACAGAGAACATACTGGACTTATTACCTCTTGTTCGCTGTCACCGATCTCAGTCCCTGATGATAGTAGTGTTGTTTACGCTTGTCACTCCCATGATGCACTTGACCCGGTCAGTCAAAGCAATGGCTGATTGGTGGGTTGAGGAAGCAGCGTGCTCAACAGAGCTCAGTGCTGCTCAACTTGCACAACGGCGCTCAATGATTGGTCAGTATAGGGACTTAGAGGAGAGTGCGCCTGGGAATACCAGGTGCTGTAAGCTTTTTCACTTTGCCGCTGCTTCAGTGGGTAGAGAGTTTTGAAAAAGAGAGCAGCTCGTCTCTGGACTTTGAAATGTGTAATTTGCACTCATTTACTTACTTATTTTTAGCCTAACCCTTTTCCTAAACCTAACCCAGTAGTTTGGTTGCCTAAACCTAATTTAAGGATGACTGCTTCACGTTATCCACGCGTTTAACCTCATGTGACTCAAGTCATGTGACTCACGTCACGTGACTCACTTCATGTGATTTATGTCACATTGTTAAGGGTCCGGTACGCCTGTCCCTTGAACTTATGTGGTTTTGGGACAACTGACAATGGACCTCTTTTGTCGTTTAGGTATGAGGACATGTTGCAGCATAAGACGATTGCTTGTGTTTCCTGAATATCTACTGTTGCTACCTGTTTAGACAAAGGTGAGGTTACAGCATCTTTAAAAGGGATGCTCGTGGGGGCCCCTGTGGCTTACAGCCATACCACCCTTTTTTTTTAATCTTTTATTATATAAAGTACAAAGTACATTACACTGGTCACAGTAAAAAGGAAACTGCTTCCCACACAAAACAACCATCACAAACATATACAATAGCAGCATTACCAGAAACTCACACAGCAAGAATGGAAAAAAAACTTTCCCCATTACCCACACAAAAAAAACAAAACACCCCATGCTAATAACCAACAGGGGAGAAACCCCACCCCTGCACACACATCAACCAACCCCCTCAATCAAACCCATAATTCAAAAGGCAACCCAAAACTCCTGTACACGTTAAAATCAACCCCCACACTCACACACATAAAAAAACAGACAGGGGGCGGCTGTGGCTCAGGAGGTAGAGCTGGTTGGCCGTTAATCGGAAGGTCGGCTCCCTCTCTCTGGTTGCATGTCAAAGTGTCCTTGGGCAAGATACTGGCTGTTCCGCCAGTGTATGAATGTGTGTTTGAGCACTTAGGCTCAGTGTATGAATGTGTGTTTGAGCACTTAGGCTCAGTGTATGAATGTGTATGACTGGTGAATGCAGATGTAGTGTAAAAGCGCTTTGAGTGGTCGAAAAGACTAGAAAGGCGCTATACACATACGGAGCATTTACATTTACAACCCAAAACCACTGTACACACAAATCAAACCCATAAAACAAAAGACAACCTAAAACCCCTGTACACACATAAACCAACCCCCAAACCATAATTACAAAAAAAGAAACAACCACGCCCCTGTACGCACATAAACCAACCCCTACACCAATACACATAACAAAGTAAAACCAAACTCCATTACACACCAAAGAAACCACAATCATCCTCCCATCCCTGAATCTACCCCAGGAAGATCCTCACACACCAGACCAAAGGGTGAAAGAGACCCCTACCCCAACGTCTTGTTAGCCCTGTGGGTCTCTCTTATTCCCAGAGAGAGACCCATAGGGACCCTTCCCTTGTCGAGCCGCTCGGTTCCTCCGCAGGCTGAGTTTAGAGGAGGACTGCTGCCGTACAGCAGCCGAGGCAATAATGTCCATTTCAAAGTCCTCTTCAGACTCAGCACCCTGAGCAGCCCTCGGCCCAGGGTCCGAGGGGACAAACAGTTCCACAGTGGGAGCGGGGAGCCTTCCTCTGCTGACCTTCCTCTGACTCAGCACTGTGCAGCACCGCCAAAGCGCCCATAGACACCACGTCCAGGCTGGACCCCAACTCAGGCGTGGGGAGGGGCTCCAGAGCATCCCTGGAAGCAGAGGTCGCAGGAACCTCGCCCCCCTAAGGCGAGACCCAGGCTGCCGAACCACCTTCCCCCGCACAAACGTCCAGCATCCCTGTTCTCCACCATCTCGCTCCCCGAGTCACTGGCATTGCACACACACTCAGGGAGAGTATTAGCACAAATATTACACTTGGGGCCAGCACGCCCCTCCACCCGCCTGCTCTCCGGTCGTTGGCCACATTCGCGCGCATAATGTCCCTGCTCCCGACAGCGGAAGCACCAGAACTCAGGGCAGGCCTTCAAGATATGGCCAGGCTGCAGGCAGAGCCTGCATACCCGAGCCTGTCTATCGTGCACCACCCTGAAGAACTCTGGCCCCAAAGCAGTCAGGAAACGGGCTGAATAGGGGAGAGACTGCACTCGGTCTGTAAACTTAACTCTAAGGAAGCGGGTGCCATCAGCAACGTGGGTGCCAGGCCACATGCGGCGCCGGATGTCAGACACCGGCGCCACACCCCAGCCCTGCAGCTTTTCCAATATCTCCCACTCAGTGATATATGCAGGGAGGTTCAAGAAGGAGACCACTAGCTCGTCATTTGCTAGGGGTCAGCCAAAACCACTGTCTCCCCAAACATGAATCCCTCCAGCAGCTTGGCTTTGCCCCTAGCATCTGACATGGTCACTTCAAACGTCTTCTGACCTGTAGGTCTACAGGCCAGAAGCCCCCCACAGCCCAGTCTGATACCCTTCATCAACTCCAAAGCAGTGACTTCCTTACCCCCAACCAGCTCCACACTCACTGTTAAATCCTTGGTGAAGGCCAGGGGCCGGTCAGCCACTGCTCTGCTGGGCCTCCTCGCTCCTCCTCCATTGCCGGCGCCATTGCCGCCCTGCCCGGGTGCCGTGGCTCCGGCTATATTCACAGACTGCCCAGCCTGGACAGCCCGCTCTCCCTCTGGGCTGCCTGCACTCTCCGCTGGGCGTCCGCCATCCGCCGCCGGGAGATCAGCTCTCACTCTCGGCCTCTCCTCCTCACCATCACTCCCGGGGCTAGCTAGCTCGACCACCATCCCAGCCCCGACAACACATCCCTCTTCCACCATCTCGTCCACCACATCCTCTTTTTCCACCAAAGCACACACTGCTGCGTCTTTCTTCGTGCAGCAGTCTCCCATCCTCTCCTTCTGCCCTCCTCTCCCGCTCACCTTCCCCGCTCCACCACCGGCCTCCAGGTTAGCCGCAGCCTCAGCTGCTATGTCCGTGCTAGCCTTAGCTCCACTGTTAGCAGCACCTTCCACAGCCCCTCCAGGCCTGCGACCGCCGCCCCCACCGCCAGCGGGTGGTTGGACAGCTGCAGGGACCTCCCCACACAGGAGCCGGGGTCCCATGCCGTCGATCCTGGCCTGATGTGCCTTCCTGGCATCGATCTCTGCGGCCCTCCTCCTCCTCATTATCTCAGCCTTAGCTTCAGCCATGGTAGCCTCCTAGCTCCCCCAAACGGCTCCAAATCTGCCGTCTGGAGGGGGGCACATAAAACAAAAACAAGCTGGATTGCTAGGAATTAGTACCCAACCACAAAATCCAACAAAAGAACTGGTCAAAAATACAACAAACACATGAAAAAAGTCCAGAAATCAGGAGCTCTCTTCAACACATCCTCTCACACCAAGGGCCTGGTTAGTCCTTGGATGGGAGACCGCCTGGGAATACCAGGTGCTGTAAGCTTTTTCACTTTGCCGCTGCTTCAGTGGGTAGAGAGTTTTGAAAAAGAGAGCAGCTCCTCTACTGTTGCTACCTGTTTAGACAAAGGTGAGGTTACAGCATCTTTAAAAGGGATGCTCGTGGGGGCCATTGTGGCTTACGGCCATACCACCCTGAACACCCCTACAATGTGTGAGAATGTGGACTGGTCTCTTTCAAAGAGTGTGGCAGAGGCGGAATTCGTTTGTTGACTGTGTGTTTTTTTGATATAACAGTACTGTGGAGAGTTTTTTATTCTCCTTTTTGGTTTGCGGTGTGTCCCCCAGCAGTGTCTCACTGTTTGGGGGAACATAAATTGTTTCCTTCCTGAGGTTTTGTAAACTTTAAAAGTCAAAACGGATAGACAAAATGGCGGGCGTGTCCGGAATTCTATTGCCATAAGTGTGGCGAGCAGGGGCATTACGCCAGAGAGTGTCACGGTAAGACTCTTTATGCCACAATTTGATGGCAGAGTGCAACTGTAATCTGAGTGATGAGGATGGTGGCGTTCTTTCTGAGCTGGGGCACACAGTTTACATATTCCCTGGAATAGATGATGATGATTCGGGCACCAGCTCAGAAATGGAGGTTACCCAAATTACCAATGTAAGGAAAAGGCACAATGAAAGGAAAAGTAGAATAAGAAATAAAAGAAAAAGAAAAAAATAAT